TTATCCTTTTTGTTTTTTTAATCTCCGTCTCGTTTTAAAGCTGGCCGAATCGTATCGGCGCAGCGAGTTTCTCGAGGAGAACTCGATGGAGAGGAAGGAGGAGGAAGCTCGGAGAACGCTGTCCCCCGCTCTGGTGCCCTTCACCCTGTTTCCCTGTTACGTATCTTGTCATCGACAAGTGTGTTCCTGTGTGGACCCGCGATACAATAATATACAAGCATTTCACTGCTCATATACAGTATAACAGTGTTTTATTTGTTTGTAATTATCTATATTTGTATTATATTGGTTTTCATTTCATCATTGTGTTGAATCGTTAAGAAAAATAAGAGAAGCGCGTGTCATTAGATTAAAAAACTCGAAACACGTGTGTATAGTAATAATCATTTGCTTAAAAAGTCTTCTTACTTGTGTGATTCGTGCAACGAATCGTGTCATCCTTAAAAATATGTATATAAATATTTAAGTATATGCCTGAGTGTCGGTGTATCACATAATAAATTGATTTACATGTTGCAGGTTATTCTAATTCCAGGGTCTAAAGGAGCTCTCGAGGCTCGTTTTATTTCTAGGGGGCACCAGAATTTCTAGGAAGTTTCTCTTTTTCCTTTTTCTTGCCTTCTCCTTGCCTCCCTCGATTCTCCTTCTTATCCGTGTATATGATACATAGATAAGACGAGAAATTTCATCTTTTTGCCTTCTACATTCTTTCATCATTCTTTTTTCTTACATATATATACGTGTATATATATGTATATATATATTTTTTTTTGCAGCACAATGTTCAAGGGTTATTAAGTACGGGGATTGGGGGTGGACCTCGCGCGCCCTGCCGGCCAGGACTTGTACCTCACACAACTCCCTAGTTACGAGTACCGAGACCTAGTTGTTCCGGTGGTTGGATAATTCGATCGCGTACGACTTCTGGGCATCTCGCTCGGCTCTCGGCTCTCTCTTCGCTCTTTCTTCAATCGCGATTCGTATCGTACATAAATACGGTTCTCTTCACACGAGAAAATATTTTTTAACCTCGCGATCGTCCAACCCTGCTTAAGATATCGATAGATCCGAAACATCTTCGAGTTACGTTCGTTGATCGCATTATGCAATATTATTATCGAAAGGAAATTTTTTAAACGATGGAGGATCTATCGAGGTGACTTAAGCAGGATGAAATCGTCGATCTATCGCAATATAATTAATCCTTTGCACTCGTGAAGCTAGTATCCCATCTTCGAAACTTTTCAAGTATATTTTTAAAAGCAATTTATTCCTCGTAGAATTCTAATTTGAACGAAACAATAAAATATGTTTACAATAACACGAGAAATTCAAGTCCAAGTTTTTACGTTAATTTTAAAAAGATTTCGTCACTTTTGATATCGATCGTACTTCCTCGAAAAGAATCTTCGAGTGCAAAGGGTTAACAGCTTAGCGTCCCTCGTGCCCTTCTTACCCAATCACGTTAGAACGATCAGTTACTCATTCTGCTCGGTAACCACTAATCGAAAGCTACTAATAAGTTAGAAACTATATACGTCTACCATCGCTAAACGATTTTTCACGAGCATTTCTCGTGAAATATTTCATCCGTCCACTACACTCACTCGATCGCACAATCTCTTTCTCTCTCTCCCTTTCTCTCCCTCTCACTTTCTCCCGTATTCCTCACGCGCGCGATTCTTATTAAATTAGAGAGAATAAATCGAACAAGTTCCCGTTTAAAAATAGACACAAAATTCATCTTGTCGCGCATCGTTAAGCCTTACATCCTATTACGTATATCTTGATCACGATTAATAGGTTCGGTTTTCAGCAATGAATTTTCAGCAATCGCTCGCGACGATACCCGATACCCGAGCGAACATCTCTCTCTCTCTCTCTCTCTCTCTCTCTCTCTCTCTCGTCTCATCGTTTTTTTTCTTTTTTCTTTTTCTCTTTCTCTTTTCACTCGTTCTCTCCGTCATACCTTTCTGCTCTCTCGCACGCTCTCTCCCTACTCTTTCTCTCTCTCTCTCTCTCTCTCTCTCTTTATTTCCTCTCTGTTTTCGCGCCCTTTTCTTTTTTCTTTTTCTTTCTTTTTTTTTTTGCATTTTTCTTCTCTTTTCGACACGGTCCACGACACGAATTTCCATCACGCCTGGATGCAAGCTATCCGGAAGGCAGACGCCGCGTAGACGCGCATTACGCCTGTCGTGAACACGCCTACCGCCCGCGATACTATCGATCGCGTGATCCGCGACGCCGAGATATTATATCCCGTGGAACGGGGAATAAACGAGAAAGGGAGAAGCAAAGAAAACGGAAGAAGACGAAGAAAATGAGAGAGAAACGCGAGAAGGTTCCTCGAAAGAAACGCGATCCGCGATCTACTGTTCCTCTCCGTCCCGTCAATAAAAAAATATTATCAATTTCAGTCTATGAGAAGAGAAATTTGCCGAAATTTAAAAAAAAAAGAAAAAAAAAAACAATATTTAAAAACGCGTTTATACATACTGCTACGTATACATATATATATATATATATATATATATATATACATAGTCTCTCGAGTCTTCGAGGTTAATATCGTTAATATCATATATGACTAAAAAATTTGATCACGTACGATCGGTTTTAAAAGGACAGACGCCTTTGGGCGGCGGTTAGAAAAACCTAGAATGGAAAACTAACTAACCTAGCTAATCTAACATACCTAAGTGACTTAAAAGAAGAAGAAGAAGAAGAAGAAGAAGAAATCAACACCTCGAAACGCGTGTTCCTAACGATTCTTTTTTTTTTCTCTCTTTTCCCTTTTCTCTTTTCTCAACCGGCACCTCTCTCACCGTGTGCCCTCGCCCTTCGCGGCCGCTTCTCCTCTCCAATTAATGCCCGTCGTTTCTTTCACGTTGTATACCACTGCAATGTGCCGTACCTCTCGAGACCTTTCTGTTTTTCTTTTTCTTCGAGAAACAGAGGAGGAAATTTTCGTGGGGGAGGAGGATAGGGGGTAGAAAGAGAGAGAGATAGAGATAGATAGATAGATAGATAGATAGACCAAGTGTGGAGAAGCGTGGTCGACGCGAACACGAGGCGCGCGAACCACGTGCTACGAAGAGACAAAGACCGAAGGGAGGAGAAGTGCGTACAGGGAGGAGGAGGGGGCGCACAGAGGCGACCCAGAACGACGAAGACGAGATGCAGAATCGATTGCATAAGGTCCCCGGTTCGGCTATAATAGCTCATCGTGACTGGTCGGACCTCGAAAAGGCGGTCTCGGAGGGGCTTGGACACCTCCGGACGTGTTTTGAAAGCGGAACACTAGCCGAAAATCGATGTCATCGGACGTGGCTGGCTGGCTGGCTGGTTGTGTCTGTGGCTCGGGACGAATTTAGAAGCGTTTTCTTCCTCGCAGCCACGCAGCGATCTTACGTAATCCACGAGCGACGAAATCTAACGACGAAACTTAAACAAAGTTGCGAACCACGAACGGCTACTTCCGAAGTGGGACGATGGAAATATTTTTGGGATAATCCGATGATTTCGTCGATCATCAGCGATGAGCGAAATCGGAAGCTTTTTTTTTTTTTTCGATTCAGCGAGACGAATCGAAGACGAGGGAGAGATGATCCTCGTTTGAGAGATCGGTTGTGTAGAATTATGTACAACGTACCGAACGATTTTCTCTACCTGCTTGAGCAACAGTTAACAACAGATAGGTAGAGAAAGAGGAAAAGGTAGATAGATAGAGAGAATGATAGAAAATGAAACGAAAAAGGAAAAGAAAAGAAAAGAAACGTAACGTGAATGAACTCAAAAGCCAGCCAAGTGCCAAACAAAGTAACACTCGTCGATTGCTCGCTATAGCAACGTACTGGAAATTCCGACAAGTAGCGCCAGTCCAACAATTCGCGGCTTATCGTATGCATCACCCGAGACACCCGTTCGTGACACCCTTGCAACCCCCGAGACACGATCGATCTTGGTCGAGACTTGGTCGAAGATATTTCGGTCGAGAAAAAAAAAAAAAAAAAAAAAGAACGAGTATTTCAAGAAAAAGAAAAAGAAGAAGAAGAAGAAGAAAGAGGAAAAAAAGAGAACGACCTCGAGGAAGCTCCGTCCACGCGTCCGTTGTCGAGCGACTTATATACCCAGGGTACACATCTTTCTCGCGGCTTTCGTTCGGATAGCACACAACACGTGACCTCGCGCCACGTGGAGTGAAGAGGGCGCCCACGGTGCGCGTCCACGGTGATTCGCGCCACTGTCAGTCGCGATCGAACCATCGCGACGCACGGTCCATCACTCGTACGATATCTCACCAAATCCTTCGAAGGAACGAGCGAAGGGATGGAGGATAAATGGAAAACGGAGGCGTTCATTTTGGTCAACCATTCGGAGAACGCCTCGAAGAAACGCGATCGTGAAAGGGTGATCAGAATCGGGGTGAGGACGTTCTTCTGCAAAACGTGGGAACACGATAAGTCGAAGAAGAAGAAGAAGAAACAGAAGAAGAAGAAGAAGAAGAAGAATTTGACGGAAGGGGGGGAGATAAAGAGAGAAAAGGTCTCGCGGTATCGGCACGGAAGTCGCGTCGTCTATTACGAGCACGGATAAACGGCCGAGCTGATGGTGTGGTAGGCGGCGAGGGCGGCGTGCGCGTGCGCAGGGGGCGCGGATGCGGCTGCGTGCGGCGAGGTGGCCATCGCGGATGCCGCCGCGGCTGCCATCATCATCTGTTGGTGCGTACGCTTTAGGGAGTTGGGAGTTGTGGCGGCGCTACTTGGGGTAATAGCAGTAGTAGTGGTGGTGTTCGACTGCGGCGTAGGGTGGTGGTTTTGGCTTTGGTTTTGGCTCAGTTGCAAGGGGGTGGTAGTGGCGGCACTGCCGATACCGGCGTGATTATTATTATTGTTATTATTATTCTGGCTCTGGTGGTGATGGTGGTGATGGTGGTGGTGGTGATGGTGGGGGGTGATCGCGTCGTGCGGATAATAAGACGACGATGGTGAGGTACTCACGACGTCCGGCGTGCTTGCTCCGTCCGTGTGGCTGGTGCTGTCCGCGGTGCTCCTCGGCCCGCCACCGTCCAAACCGTTCCCCATCTCGGGCGGTTTCGAGCTCTCTCTGTCGTCGATCACTAGGTCTATAGGCATTTTCCCTTTCAAGCAGCTGATGTACCGGTGGCAGAAGTTGTCGCACAATTCGTGCACCTGTGGAAACAGAAATTGTTCGAATGAGAAAACATGTAATTCCATTATTGTACGAATTAGGGTTTCGATATATCTCTAACCTATTCGAAACCTATGAGACTTTATCATGCTCGAACGTACACGATATTTCGGATTAATCGAGAAAATTGGATTGGAAATTCAGTTCGTTCGTGCACGGGTGAAACGTTTCACCCGGTATTTTCACTTCGAAGCCACGGGTACCAAAAGGGCCGCGCGGCGAGGATGGCGAGGCCGATACGAACGCTGGTATCGATACACAAAGATGGAGGAAGCCGGCGAGGAGAGCTGGTTGCATCTCGAGGCCGTGGAAGCGGTCCAGCAGCGAGGGACGAAGACACCCTGTATCTTCTGCATCGAGTCGGAGCGAGACGGAGCGAGGAGGTCTGACCGGTGTCCAGTCGACCAGAATGTTATGTATGCAAATGAGGTCTGACAGGCCTATAGGATACCCGGTCCTCGAGCGTCCTCCTCACGGTTCATCCTCCTCCCGATCCCTCTTACCTTGCCCCCTGGCCGGCCCCTGGGCCGAGGTTCGCCTCGGCCTGGTCGCTCGATTCGGTTTAGAAAAAATGTATTATATAAGCAAAAGCAAATAAAAACGCTTATCTTGTTATATGTAAATCGATGGGTAGGAGGGGAAAGAGAGAGAGAGAGAGAGGAGAAGGAAGGCGCATTACGAGGCGGCGCGGCGTGTCTTCGCTCGTTGCAAGCGCGTACACGCGCTTTCTTCCTAGCCTCCCCTCTTCCCTTCTTGCTTTCGAGCTTCCACAAGAGGCTGGCTGGAGTTGGCTGCCTCTCGGCAACCTATCCACCTAGTAGTAGATACTTATACGACGGTTCTTCTTATTAGGCATTTATATGTAATAGAGAAGACGGCCATCTTTGCCGTAGGCGGCACCGTCCAATGGTGGAAGGCCGTGGCCGACACCACCGTAGACAATGCACGCGTTTATCATGCGTTAAGCGTATGCGAGAGGACGCTTGATCGGACGCGAAACCGATCCAGGGACACAACGCTCGCTCTCTCTTGAAACACGGTGCCGTATCGTATGTTGCCACGTTTAAAACTTCTTCGTTGCTCTTCTTTTTTTCTTTCTTTCCTTTTTTCTTTTTTTTTCTACACATATATTTTTTACATTTTTCTTCCTAGATAGATTCCTCGAAACCGACAAAGGATTGTTAGTACGCGCGAGTACTGCTGGGAGAGATTCTCCAGAATTTTCTTCCAAGTGCCATGCCACGGTAACACAATGCCTCCTCGAGATGACTAGACTCTCTTTAACGCGGGACCAAAAGGGCGGCGGGAGAGGGCGGTGGAGAGAGCTCGAAGGACAGCAGCTATAATGCCGGACTGGTTAGAATTTGATCCGCCGGGAGTCGAGTCGAACCGGCCGACAATGCTCACCGAAGAAAAGAAACGGAGGGAGGGAGGAGGGGGAGGGGGCCTCCTCGTCCCATTCTCTCTCTCTTTCTCTCTCTCCACCTTTTCGCCTCTCTTTCTCCTGCGAATAGCCGAAAGAAGGCCCGGCCACGACGCTGAGAAGCGTTCACCTACACCCGTCTTTGTGTACGTGCGCGCACGGGAACACGGTTATCGAGCCATTTTTTACCGCTCGTACACGCACTCGGAACACACCCCAATCACCGGCAAAAATCGTTTTTTCCAACTTGGCATGACCGCGGAACTCGGATCTCTTTATTTCTTTTTTTTTTTTTTTTAAACAGGCGGCACAGAGACTGCCGTGGTTCGTACGGGAATTTAAATGAAAATTTCAGAAGTGAAATTAACGGATATAAATCTGAAAACATCGTATCGAGATTTTAATAAGAAAAATCGAATAGTAATAAGATGGCTGGCAACGCTAGCCACACGATCATTAACTTTTTCTTTTCAGATACTCGTACGTATTAGACGATATATTTTTTTGTTTCTTGACTTCCAAGCGAAAGATAGTAAGCACTGGATAGGTCATATCGATTCACGTGAGCGAGAAAGGAGGTGGTTGTTATATATATCGCTGGTTCAACCAAAACCTCTCCAGTATTCGAAGCTCATGATCTAGAACACGATACGATGCACCGCGGACGCAAGTTTTTGCCATCTATCGGCCCTTTGAATCGCGTCACCCTACACCGCAGACCGATCATCCTAACCGGGCTCTGACACAGGATCCAAACTCGGGCCCTCGACAACACGCACTCGACTTCTACTAGAAACGGCGTGTCCATTTTCTGCTCCAACTTCTTCTTGCGGCGAGAAAAAGGTCCCGACCGTCTCTTCTTTGTCAACGTTCCTCGAACATCGTGTCTAGAAGACACGCGATACTCGCGATCCTAACACATATGTAACTCGTAATCAAAAAAACAAACTGACCACTGGGGAATATGTTTCTCAAGCTCGACTCAAAATTCCAAAAAACGACAATGCCTTTCTCTTTTTTCAAGCTCTAGAGATCGTTCTTCCACCGTATCCTTTCGCACGGTTGACACTATATATCCTCCTGCCCCCTCTCCCTCCTTTTCCCATAGACCGAAGGATACGCGCTAGGCAGCCGAGCACTTCTTTGGCATCTAATTCGTCGAACCTGGACGAAGAGAGAACGAGCGAGCAAAAGAAAGAAAGAGAGAGAGAGAGAGAGAGCTTCTCGGATTTTCTGATACCAGAAAGGAGGTTCGCGGCGGAGGAGAAAGGAAAATATCGAGTGTCTCAAAGGATCACCGTTTCCTCCTCGACAGTTTCGTTTCTCTCTACCCTTCCCCGTTCTCGAACCGTGGTGGAGAAAGCTCCCTCTCCCTTTCTCCCCCTTCTTCCTTTCCTCCTCCACAATTCCGTCCACGGAATTATCCGGCGGTATTTAATTTCCGCGATGAACCGCGGCCGTAAATTTTCCCTCTTCTTCGGCTCCTCCGAAATAAAAGCCGCGAAGCAAAGAAGAAGGAGGAAGAGGGGGAGGAGGAGAAGGAGGAGGAGAGGAGGGTTTTGCTCGCGAAGAGTATCGCTTTCATCGCGTCCTCCGCTTCTCGTGTTCCTCCCGCGAAGTACACGCGACACCAGCGGAGGTGGCCATTACCGGAAGAGTAGTGGCCCTCCCCCCCTCGGTGCAAGCGCCACGTAGGAACGAGTCGCGTTCACGATACACCCGCTACACAGCTACAACGTTGCCTGTAACTCGAGATTATTCCCCATTTTATGGCCGATTTAACAAGCTCCGCGCGGACGAGTGCCCCGGGTGTCGCTTCGTAAGTCGTCGAAATTGTTCCCAGGATTTTTCGCGAAACCAGATGGTTTTATCGATCGCAAGTGCAAGTGTCTCCTCCCTTCGAATGTCGCTGAAAATTTTCGCTAATGACGATATCGTACAAAGGATGATTCTTATTTTGATTATTCAAGAATGAAATATGTAAATTCGATTCGATTTTTAATACTCGCTCGACGAAATTTTCTTTCTTCGATTCACGTGATGTTCGAGCACGAGAGAGTTGGACCGGTCCGCGGTGACCGTGGATAGGTATAGGTAAGAGGGACAACGACGACAACGACGAGGGGGAAGAAGCGTGTCGTTCGAGGGGCAGAGAGCCGCGGGCCCCTGGGCTCGAAACGAGTTCTCGATTCAAAGACTTCTTAAACGGCCCGTTGTCCCCTCTTCCTTTCTCCGTCCCCTTTCTCCTCCCTCTCGATCGCGCGAGGGGAGGTTCCGCACGAGGCGACATTATACCATCGCGACCGTCCCCTCCCTGCCCCCCTCCAACCCCTTCCCTCTTTTCACTCGGCCCCCGAAATTACTCGAGAATTTACGTAAACGAAGGGACGAGCGGGCAAGTGTCTCTCCTCCTCCTCCTCCTCCTCCTCCTCCTCTGTTGACGGCGTCTCGGAAAGGCAAACGGGCCGAAGAATGGAACGGATCCGGGGTACGCAGGAACAGAGCGAGGGAAAAGAAGAGGGAGGGGAAGGGAAGAAAGGAGTAAAAAAAAAGAAAAGAAAAGAAAAGGAAAAAGTAAGAAATAAAAAAAGAGGAAAAAAAGGAGGAGGAAAGAGGAGCGAACCCCATTTACGGCACAATGGGCTCCTTTGAAGCCGAAGGTAATGAAGGTTTCGGGGTGTCTGTCTCGGTTCCTCTACCGTGCCCCGATTCACAACCTGACTACCCCTTACGGCACGCACAGGATGGCCATATATACCGGGTGTGTGTGCGTCTACCAACGAACTGTGGAACTCTCCTTCCACGGGCTGTCGATGACGTTTTGCCGGATGGGGGGAGGGGGGCGATTCGTTTTCGTTTCTGCGCTTCGAAAAGCAGTCGTTTCAACAAACGGGGTTGCACACCGGCTCAATTTCGTATACCTCGTTGCTATGCTAACGATATTCGTTTCTCTTTTCACAAATATAAATGGAACTTAGACTTAGTAAAATTCTGTCGGCCAAAATTTGTCAAGGCGAAACGTAAAGATCAACCTTCGTCACCGACCGATCTACCCATACATCCATCCACAGTTTTACACCCTATAACTCATCCTTTAACTACCCGTTCTTCGATTCCATCGACGACTCTAAGTTAAGTCGCGAATCCTAGATCCACTTCTCTAATCTTCCAAAAAAATGTAAAGATACTCCCGAGTACTCAAGCGATCGCAGGGATATTAAAATGGCGGGTAAAAAGGGGGTAAACAGCGTTGGAAGTCGACCCGGATGTCCCGCCCATCGGGACGTCCACGAAAACCAGCCTCGAGGAACAACAGGAGGGAGGAAGCGCGCGGATGTCCCCACAGTCCTAGGTATAAGTGTACAGAACCAGTTCGCGAGCCAGCTAAGGCCGAGGATGTCCTCCTGTATGAATCTCGGTTGGTATGCGCCGCATAATACCCCCATAAGAAATTTACCGCTCTCTAACAGGCGATAACGTGTACACGTATATATATATACCGTGTCGTGTGTATCTTGCGTAGGACAGGCGGGGGAAGAGAAAGATGTAGAGAGAACGTGGCGAGTGTAACGAGCACGACCGACCAAGTTGCAATTCACGGTCGAAGATCGACGCGAAACGGGGAGACTTGTGACTCGAGAGTGGGAGAAGAGGAAAGAGAGAAAGAGAGAGAGAGATACAAGAAGATGATTCTTTCTTTCTTCCCTGCAAAACGTAATTATGCTAATACGCGATTGGCTCGAAAATGTTAAATGCACGAAGCGCAGCACCGCGGGCTACCATGCTTCAATGGTAAAACTTTCTCTCTTTTCAACTCGACAGCCTCTCTCTCTCTTCGCCTATTGCTCCGTCCTTCTTCTTCCATCTTCCATCTTCCGTTTCTTTCTCCAGCTATCCGAAGCTTCGTCCATCTTCTTCTTCTTCTTCTTCTTCCTCCTCCTCTTCCGTCCTTCTCTCGTCACCTATCACCCGTACTCCATCCGTCCTCCTCTTCCCTTTCATCGCCTCTCCCTTCTTCACCTATCACTCTCGTCCTCTGTCCGTCCTACACCCCTCTCTCGAGAGCTCCAGATATTTATGGAATCTTCTTGATCGCGCGTCCGCTGCATTCCTCGTTGCTCGCTCGGCCGCTCGCTCATCCAAGACCTCGCTCGAAGAAGAGCCGCCGCGTGTCTCCGTCCCCGTGGGCCCCGGGGACCGAGGGAACGTTTCAATCTTCATTACGGCCGATGCCAGTGCGCGGCGCACACCGTGCCAAATTGCGGCCAGGTTTTGTCGCGGCTTTTCGAGACCCGCCCCTCCGATATCGCGTACGCCGATCTCGGTGAAATAAATCCACCGGCTGGCGTATTGGAATCGTAGCGGGCCGGCCTCGTGGGAGGAAAAAGCAACGGCCGCGGATTGAATATCGGTTTGGCGTCTTGATCCCGGTGAGACGGTTTCTTATCCGCCTCCTGGACCTTGCTAGGAGACGACGACGTCGGCGACGAGTGCACGACGTCGATTTCTTGCCGCCTCGGTGTGTGTACCACTCGTGGACTCGAGGGGGGGAAGGAGGGGTCGGTGTCTCGAGCGTAAGAGTATCGCGGTTACTGACAACGTTTTCTTGCAACGATCGTGTGATGCTGCTCGCTCGATATTGATGGATACTTCGTGGAAAGAAATTTATTCGTTTTTCCTTTTTTTTTTATTAAAGAAATTTTTTTCGTTTTTTTTTATAGGGTGTGAGAGTCGGGCATTTGATTGAAAATATAGAATTATACTAAAGTTAATATTAAAATCGTACAGGCATGCCTCTGTAATTCGACGAGCAACAAAATAGTTACTTTTAACAATCTCTTTAGAAATGTAAGTCGAAACACCCCTGACGCAAAGGTCGTGAAAAAAGAGGACTTCTTTCTTCCGTTTTCGATTCCAAGATTCCTAACATTTTCTTATCATTTCTCCCTTCGAAGAACCAAAACAAAGAATCCGACCGAGCAAGCACGATCGTATGCACATGCGTATAAACGGAGAAGGAAAAGGAGAAAAAGAAGGAAGAAGAAAGAAGAGGAAAAAAAAAAAAAAAAAGGAAGAAAAGAAACGAAAAGAAAGGGCCGCGTGCGGGGCAACGTCGGGGATTCGCCGGTAGGATAGCCCCCTGCCTTTATAATAATGTAATCGCGGCAAATGAGGAAAATTGGTATAAAATTGCAGGATCGAGCGGGCCGATCCGAGGCGGGCCGGTGTCCGAGAGGGAGCAACACAACACACGAGGGTCGGATCGAGCTGGCCGGTCTCCAATGGCTGCCGCCGCCACGTCAGCTGCCATTTCGATGGAAATGCGATGGATGTCCGCTATTTCGTATGATAAAATATCGGCGCAAAAACGGCGATGCCCAGGCCGAAACCTGGGGCCCGCCCGTGGTATTCTGCAACCACGCAAACCGTGCTCCTGAAAACTTGCGCTCTTTGCCTCCTCTTCTTTGCCTTCCTTCTCTCCTCTTCCCTTCTTCCCTTCTTTCGACAAACCGTCCGTCCTCTTACCCCCTCTTTCGAACGGTTATCAATCGTTAACGGGAGAAAAACGGGAGGCCGTAATTCCCAATGCAATATTTATTTATTTATACCGTGGTGGTGGTATTAAATCTGGTATTAATCCCGATTCAATTAATCGCTGTTCACTCTCGTGTCGTCGATTCGATTGCGACTTTCTCCACCTTGCTCTTCTCTCCCCCTGGGACCGATCATCGTACGTTTTGATTCCCTCGTCTTAATTAGTATTCGCGGGAAAATCGAAGGTTGATGAAGAATGCGCGATTTTGTTATGCGTGTGTCGCTTCGATATTTACAGATGACGAAAATTATTTAAAATTCAATCGAATTCTTCAATATCTCAAGCGATCCATGACAATTATCTTAGAGATCTTTAAAAAGAAACGAGTTGCAACGAGTTTCGCGTAAATTTCATCCGTCCATCCGAGATTCTTAGATCAATTCTCGGTCGATATCGATACACGCGGGGTGTTATTATTACATTTCTAGGATATTTTCGAAGGATATTCCGATAAAGCAGGAAAGTAGTTGATGCATCTTCACGAAATCAAATCAAGAAACTTGAATCGAAACTTTCGTTGCGTTTCCCTCCTCCAAGAATAAGATCTTGCAAACTTCTTCTTCCTCTTCGTTCCGAGAAACATGCATTACCACTTATACGGTATAATTTATTCAATCGTAACTTATTACTTCACCTATCCTATCCATATCTCGTTTCAAAAATAAAAATCGTAAATTCACGCTTAAACGGTTAGACTCTCTCGTGCCGTGACTTCTACCGCTCCGTGGAATCTATTACGCGACACATGTACTCCGATTTACGAGTTTCCGGTTCGCAAGGAGGGGAGCCTGAAGGGAAAAAAGAAGAGAGAGAGAGAGAGAGAGAGAAGAAAAAAATCAGGACCTCGGGTGGAGAAAGATGGCCGTTCCAATGCAAACAACTCGGAGAGCACCGCGTACGTCTAGCCGGCCATTGGACAGGTAAATGACGCCACTTACGCCTGTGGAGCTCGAGAGCGGAGCCAAGGTGCACGCCATAGCCGACCGACGACCGACGACCGACGACGGCCACGACGACGACGGCTGGTGGCCGAGCTTTCACTACAATTACGGAAAATTGCGGCTCCGCCCGTAACAGTTGTTTTTCAACCGTTTCGAACGGCTTATCTGCGCCGACACCCCGACAATTGGAGCGGACCAGAGCACCGCGTACACGCGGACCTCGTAGCACGCGCTCGAAAACTCGCCTCGCCTAAACGCGGCTCGTTTCCGTTCTATATAATCTGATATTTCGCGTGTGTGAAACTACTCGCGATGATTATTAAGGGCCTTTACGTGGATGCATTCGTTGAACGATGATGTTGAGGTTGAGGAACGTGTTCGTAAATAATCGTGGAAATTATTTTTCCAATTATCCATTAATAAAAGCATGATTCTCGAACGTTTTTTTAATCTCAAATCTCTGTTTGATAAATAGTTGATTTATATAGTTATTAATTGTGTAACGTCATGTAGCGATGCGTTATCTTGTTTTATGCGATAGAATGTCCTATTTACTGTGAATCTGTTGGGGGGAAGGGGGGAGGCTAAACAGGTTCTCGTGAATGGATTTCACGGAAACGTATTGTTTAAAATGCGTGATAATAACGTATTAAATTTGGAAACAATTTTGCAAGTATTTGTATCTTTCTAACGCTTAATAAATTAATTCTCTACATATTTTATATTTTAGATATTAATTCCTTAACGCTCGTATTTAACATTTTGCACGAGGAATAACATATAAAATTTGATTATTTATTATTATTCCCGTCATTTAATCTTTGCTAGAAAAAAAACAAACTTTACAATATATTGTATCAATAACTTATCAAAGATGTAGCTTATCAAAGATGTGGCTTATCACACAAAGGTCACACGCTTATTTTTATTTTTATTCTTCGAGCGTTAAGATTGTAAATATCATTAATAAAATTAAATTATATATTAAATCACGAGTTTGAATTTATTGCACCAACAATTACACACGTAATTAATTCGCCAATTATTTAAAACTTAAATTAATCGATACTTAAAATACTCGGAAAGATAACGTTGTGAAAGTAGTAAACCCGCAATACTTTTCGAATATTACGATAATACGGTATAATAAAATAATACACAATTCTCTGTGAAATCGCAAAATTTCATTCACTCACCTTTTCCAGCTCGAGGAGGTGAAACCGGAGGACCTGGATCGCTTGTACCATCTGGAACAAGAAAACAAAAGTAACGGAATAAAAATTCGTCCGCTTGAGATGGAAGATTGCGAAGAAAATCAAAAGAAAGAGGGGAGGGGGGAGGGAAAGAAAAGATTTCGACGCTCGCTGGGAGCAACCCCCATTTATTTCTCTCGGATACGGAAAGCTCCGTTGACTATCGGTCGATTCACTCCGCGAGGATTAACGGGAATTAATTATTATTGCATCTCTACACGCCGCTAATTACATCCCCGAAATTCCGTGTGCACGGATCGATACGCATAGTGGATGCTAACAGTTCAACGACCGTATGTCGATACCTCGACGCTTTTCAATTTCAGCGTTAACTATTAATTTCGCACGCTTATACTTTACCGGTACAAAGTCAAGAAGAACGTTAAACGATCGATTACAATCGATTTTTTTCCTTAATATTTTTTTCACACGATTTCCAATCAACGACTTTATTAGAATCTAGAAATGAATCTAGAAATCTAATGCTGCGCTCAATTTATAGTTATAAGAATCCCAATTATTATTGCAAATTATGTCTCGATGATTTTGAGTTCGAAATTTCGTCACGACAATATCTCGAATGAGAAACGTAATCTGCAGAAAGAAAAAAATATACGTTCTTCTTTCTCTCGATAATTGGTTTAAAAAAGAGCGATATCTCGAATAATTCTCTCGAAGCACGATTTCATTCGAATGGCCGATCTTGCCATTGCTATCAACTTTCAGTGAAGAGACCAACAGTCCTCGCCTTCCACCCCCTTCTTTATTTCTCCGAATCGGCATTCAGAATGTGTATATATATATATATAAATACGCGTTTTTCTAAGGCGACACACGGTCACGTTTCTCTCTCCGGGTATCGAGCGTGTGCATATTCGAGCCACGGCCATCGGCATAATTTTCCGATACGGCGTTACGTTTAAAGCCACCTTCGAGAAGCCACCTCTCGAATCCGATCGAGCGAGGAGAACCCCCCCTCTCCTCTCCTCCCGGGCGCGGCTGCAGGAGCGGCGATTCAATTAGGCAAAGCGGCAATCTTAATTGTTAATTAACATTATATTTATGCAATTATGGCCCATTATGATTCCGCGCTGCCGATAACGAAGCGACCGCGATGAGTGCTCCCTCAGATAGCGAGACTCGAGAGAGGCCTTCGAACAGGGATCCTCCTCCTCCTCCTCGTCTCTCTGTTCCTGTTGCGGAGAGGTGCTCCTTTTCGGTACACGCACCGATCGGCTCTCGTGTGCGTCCACCGCGACCGCGATACGAACAATCAGCCTCTAATGGAACGTGGAACGAACGTGAAATCGTGGCTCAGCGAGGAGGAACGACGAAGGACGTTGAAAGGGGACGTGTTGCGCGGAGCTCGATGATTGGATCGAGAGAAGGAGTTTATTGTAATGGGGAAATTATTAATGCATATACAAATTTTTCTCGAGGCTTCGAGAAAAAGATATTTTAAAATATCCCGAGATAGGAAGGGATTTCGGCAAAGGAAAGGAAGAAAGAAAAAAATTCGCGAAATCTCGAATGTTATCGGGGACGAAAGGGGACTTTCATAATGAAGGCAGCACGCTTTATCAATTTCCACGGAGAGAGGGCCCTCTCCTATCGAAATCTCCCTCGGCGATAATAAATGAGCGGAGAGTTACAATGAAGGAACAACGCTCGTCCTCTCGCTCGATGGGATAACACTGATTCGTTCAATATATAAAGAAACCCCATCCATGGGATAACGAAGGGAAAAATGATTGCGTTTAAATGTCGAAACGTTCTCTAAAACGTAAATGCGGTATAAAAGAATACAGATAATTAAATGCACGGATCTAAGTGTCTTCGCGATTTATAGAAAAAGCGTTATTGTCTCCCTTGTCTTCCTCCCTTCGTGCGAACGAAACGGGAGAAAACCGATGATCGTTACTCGCAATTACCCGAGCCAAGTAATTCGAAATGAAGAGTTAATTGATGCGTGCTCCAGCGTAGTAAACCGTTATTAGAACATCGACGGGGTTCGGGTCTGGTCGCGTTTCTCTAACCTCTTTTTCCTTATCGAAATGCAGCAACCGGGGTAGCCGGTGCCGATAACGAAGTGGCCTCTTTGATCCTCGCTTCTCTGCATTTTATACCGTGGAAACGGTTGTGGAGATAATTTGATAATTTCTCGTACGTATAAAATTTTGCCTCGCGTGCCCCGTCTTCGTTTCTTTCTCCAATTCGATCTTAATTCGATTCTCCATCTTCGTCGTGATATTTTCGAACGATTAATATCTCTCTCTCTCTCTCTCTCTTTACACATCGAACGAAGAAGCGGAAAAAAGAAGAAAAACAGCGGGAATCGAATCTTTCTCTGTGTCTCTCGACTCGCCAACGTCTCGAGGAGGAGAAGGAGGAGGAGGAGGAAGCAAAGAAGGGCGTGGAAGGAGGGCGAGGTGAAAAAAGGGGCGCAGGCACGCCGTAGCGAGCAGAGCGCGCGGAGAAGAAGAGAAAAAGAGAAGATGGTATCGCGGCGGTAACGAACGAACGAACGAACGAACGAACGGACGGACGGACGGACGGACGGACGCGCAACACTCGCAAGGGCCGCGAGTGCTCGAGTTGACGAGATGGTGCGAGGAGAGCAGTCGATTCGCCACCACGCGTTCCTCTTGTCCGCGCGCGCACAATGTGTCCTCTATATCCCGAGAGCCGCGGTTTTGTTGCTTCTCGAGCGAGCGAAAGCGGAGAATGCCCCCTCGTTCCTCCTCCTCCTCCTCCTCCTCCGCAGACCGTTTCGTTATCTACTCGGTACTCGGATACACAGCCGACGCGACGTTCCTCGCGCGTTTCCATCGCCACGCCATCGCCACGACCCAATGCAACGCGATCTCGCGTGTCAATTCGAGAATCGAACCGTTCAAGTTCTTTTGCTAGGAATCGCGATGTTTCGATTGATATTTGGCGAAAGATGCTGCTCTTCTTTCAGAAATTTTCTTTAAAAAAATATCCAGCGTCAATTCGAGAATCGAGCCAAGTTCTCTTGCTCTCTTGTTAAGGATATTTGGATCGATATTTGGTGAAAGATACTGTTCCTCTTTTAGGAAAATTTTCTTAGAAAAATATCTGAAAATCGGTGTACACATCTCTCGATCTCTGTTATCCCCTGTTTTTCTCCTATAAATCTTTCGTCGTTTCACAATTTTCAACAGAAAACATGAAGAAAGAAGTATCGATAAAAATTTTCCTTTATACGAAACAACATGGAAAAGAAGATCACAAGAACGACATATTGTATTAATTTCCGACCTATTATTCTTCGCTTTCGTTTACACATTCGTCCATTCCCGAAATTGCACGCCACTTTTCTTTCACCGTCACGCCCAGTGTACACGCTTGCAGTGTACACGAACCTCTCTCCACCACCTCTCCCCCGTACACGACGTTATTCCATCCACGACGCATTCTTCCCAAAGATCTCGCGGCAACGGGAGAGGAGGTTTTGCCGCGATCGCTCATCACGTGATATTAATTAGCCTTGCACAGCAGCATGCAGCAGCAGCGGCAGCAGCAAGGATGGGCGAGGGGGGCCAGAGAGAGAGAGGGAGGATCGGAAGAGAAAAACTGCGAAATGCGCGAAGAAACGGGGGAGATGGTGTTATTTATAAGCAGACAGGGACGACGCAGTCGGAAGCGACGCCCCCGACCCCCAAACAGCTCCCCAAACCGTCTTTCAATTCCTCTCGTCTCGTCCTCTCCCCTCTTCTCCCCACCTTCACTCACGTTTTTCCAACGTTATTCGACGGCCACGAGGCTTTCTCTCGCCAGCGTATTTGATCCATGCCCGAGATAGGGGCGCGTACGCGCGTTAAATGAGCGGCGTGTCGAGGCTTCGCGATTCACGCACGCTGATTTCCTCTGTTTTTTTGCGCGTTGTATCCTCCCCCTCCTCCTTCGAGGAACGAGCCTCGAGAATAACCGGGAATAAGGTGGGTGGGTGGGGGCAAGGTCTATCAGTTGCTGAATATTTTGGCTCGTGTTTCTTAAAACACGTTATTTACGATAATCGAAAGATTGCGTAGGTTTTTCTTTCATTTATCATCGTTCGATGATATACGAGAGACGGGAAATAAAATTTTTACTAGTGGTACTTTTTGAGAGGGTGCAATTTTTAAAAATTTTTTTAAATTGAAAAGGAATAGAAGAGAAGAGTTGCGTGAAATAAACAAACGAATTTGAGAATTTTTCAAAATTCGCAGAGAGCGTAGATCAAAATTTAATTATAGATTGGAGGATATTCTTCTTCGTTCGATGAAGAATTTCTACGCGTCTGGTGTATCATTTATTTAATGATTAATTTAACGCGAAAAGATGGATAGGAATAAATTTTGGACGAGCCGCTGGTTTTCTTCCTCCGATTGCACGGTATTCGGCAACTTTTGGCGGCCAGTGTACTCCTTCAATGCCAACTAATTTGCCCGAATTAAAGAGAACGAGACAGATCGCGAGACTTCAGAATTAGACACGCCGCCCGAAATAATTGGGGGATCGGCTGTTACAAGTCTCGGAAACCTACTCTTCCAATATAATACGAGCTACACACAAGTCAAAATTCGAGACGAAAACTGATAAATTGCATAAAGATAAATTATCCGATTTCTGAAAAGTTAATACCATCCATCTACTCGAAATTTAGAAATTTGTCAAATGTGCGTAGAATCGAGTTTCTTTTCAATTTGTTTCGTACGTATGCAGCGTTGATTATCCAAAGAGAATGAGAGAAAAACAAATTAGACGGTTGAATAATTTAAACGTCAACCCGGTAGGTTTGGCTCATATATTGTATAAATCCAAAAAAAAAAAATTATTATTCACGAAAAAAATAAATAAGAACGGAAACGAGACAACAAAGCTTCAAATTACCAGGGAAGACGCAGCAATCTAATTAAAACCGATCCTCAAACCGAGCCGCAAATTAGCTAACGCGACAACGACGCCCATTAATCTACGCCAATGAACCC